TCCGGTTGTATTGTAAACAACTGCATCGTTAATATCGCTTATCAGTTTGAGCCCAATTGAGAAGCAGAGGATATTATTGAAGAGGATTGTGCAGAACCTGTGCAAGCACGGCTTTTAATGGTAGGCCTGTGTTTTTTGTTTGTTGTTGTCTCATACTTTTAGATATGCTGTTATTTGTAAATACTACTGCTTATGTTAGCGTTTAATATACAGTTTTATCCTGATTAAAGCTTTAATACAGTTTTACGCTTCTCATAACTATGTGACAATAAGTGTATAATTGTAACAGTTCATTGTTGGAGTTGAGCTGAATGAGAGAGAGAGAGAGAGAGAGAGCGTGTGCAGAGCAGGGGGACGCGAGGAACAGTATTAAGAACCACTGCTTTAGAACATTGATTTTGAAACTTGTGAATCCATTAGAATCGTTAGAAGACAGAATCGCGATTCATATATGAATAGATTTTTACGTGCACCTCTAGTTTTCTCTTCCTCTTCTCTAAAGCGGCACAGCATGGCCTCGCCCCCTTTGCTGCCTTTTCCCGAGGGTGGGGTTTATCTGGGTTTGTGATGTCACGAACCCAGGAAGTAACTTGTTGTAGTCCCTACCAGCCGTTTTTGTAGGCATTAAACTGCCAGAATTGTAAAAGACGATATCTCCGTTTGCATTGAACTTTCAGATTTGTAATTTTGCAGATATTGTTTATGCTCAAACAGCAACATTAGACACTAACGTTAAAAAAGTGAAATCGCCATCAACCACCCCTTTAAGAGGTAAACCAGGAACCAGTTTCTCTGCATATGGTCGTGAGATAGTGTCAGAGATTTTTGTGAAAACTCATTTACTCACCCTAATGTTATTCCAAACCTGTATGCATTTATTTCTTCTGATGAACACACAAAGATATTTTGATGAATGTTACCAAAGAATTTCGTTTCCCATTGACTTCCACTGTATTGTTTTTTGTCCCTACATTGATAGTCAACGTTTATATAACATCTTATATGGTTAAATATAGTGGTGTTCTGTTCCTTTCATATCCAGGCAATGATAGAGATAGTGATGCTGACTGGCACAGTGGCAGCCACAATGGTGTCTTGGTATCCCATCAGCCGCACTGCAACACTTCTCATGGTACCATACTTGGCCTGGCTCTGCCTAGCTACCAGCCTCAACTACTGCATTTGGAGAGACAATCCAGATCCCAAAAAAGATGACTAAGAGTCCAATAAAACAAACACTATTCTATTTAACACTGACTAGAACAAAAAAGCAACCGTGTTTTTTTTTTTTTTGCTTGTTGGCCATTTTGAAGTATAATAATGAAGAATTTAGTTTATTTTTTATCTTCTCTTTAAATTTTGTAATATCAGAAAAATTCACATTGTGTCTTAATTATAAAAGAAGGAAAGGCAATAAAATGAGAATGTTCTAATGCTTCCATTATATATTCTCAGTCCATCAGATCACTTAAGTTCAGCATTTTACACAGATCACTTTTGATCTTGTTCACTTGCTTCCTTGCCTATTTTTTACTAATAAAAATGTTTTCATGACTTGAGGTTTCTTGGAAGGAAATTAGTTAAAACATTGTACATGGATTGTTTTTCAAACACCAAGCTCTGGCCTTAAATCTGTGTGGCTTTGCAAGGGTGGTGGTTTGGCAAAGTTTTTATCATCTAGCTATCTTTTGTGAACATATTGTATGTCATGGCACAGACCATATTATCAATATCTGCCAGGAAATTCCCCAGTGTGCATTAGCTTTATGTTATATCACTTTTCTGTGCAACTTTATATTACTCAACTGCACTTCAGCAGTTTATTCCATCATAACCCTAAATTAGTTTTTTAAATAACAAACATTATAATTATTATAAAAAAATCTTATTTATGTTATACTTTAATCACCACACTAACTTTAAAATGGTGCACGCAATCAGCCAATAAAATGTTCTACAAAAAATGTAAAAATGTAGAAATACGTTGATGGTTGTATTTTTTTGTATTTGATCTCAGTATTCCTATCAATGTTGTATAAGGGTTTTTTTATGCATAATAGTAACCCTAGAATGTGATCAACAGTTTAAAATAGCTGGGCTAAGAAATATAACAATTTTTAAGACTGCAGAAATATGTTAATACAGTATACACATTATCCCTCCGGTAACAATTGGGACTGACCATAAAATAAAAATGCTCACACACTTTTCCAAAAAAAAAAAAAAAAATTGATTATTTCAAAGGGTTACTAATGACGCATCATTTGGATATTTTCATGTCTGGGAAAAATTTGGGATTAAATGGGTTAAAATGTGTTTTAAACAAAGTTAAGTGGTTTTCATTACCCATTTTACTCTTAGTAATTTAATAATTTAAAAGTTTAGTGCAGAAGTATCGAATCGGTATCGACGATACTGCCTTGAAAAATATCGGTATCGTATCGAAAACAAAATAAGGGGTAGCGCCCATCCCTAAGTCTAAGCAATTGGATGATCACAACTGTAAATTTCTTCTGTACATTCATTGTGTTTTGTTGAAATAAATCTCACGCTGAATCAGTTGCTTAGTCTTTTATTTAAGAATATACATATTTAAACTATATTCAAAAAATTAAAAATGTCCATTACAGTTAGTATTTCAGAACACTTCATGGTGCCCATTTCTTTAAGAGCATCCTCCTTTGTTGCATTTCCACACTTGTAGTTCCCTATTTTGAAGAGAAAACTTTCATCCAGGTCTCTTTTTCTAATCTGAGAACACACAATTATCGTTTTAGAGTTAGGTTTCATAGGAATTTAAAATTCGCAATCAAAATCTTCACTCAAGATGAATACTTGCATTACACAATATATTGTATTGCCAAGACAAGCAAGTCACCTCGTGTGTGCAGCCAGTATCAGGGCAGTGGGAGATCTACTGTGGTTCTTAGTCAGACGGAGCAGGAAGGATTCAGGAGCTAATCCCAAAATCGTTGTTTTGATTTCCTCCACACGCACATTATCAGGAAATAGTGCATGGTCCTGCACAACAAACCTGTGTCCACTGAGTGGAGTATGAAAAACAATATAATACACCAAAAATAGGTAATTGTAAGTTCTGCAAACTAGACGCTCAGTAAAATAAGATCTTCTAACAGACCATACCTTTTCACAGAGAGGAGCAGAAGATCATTGAAAAGGTGTATGTACATATCTTTGCGAGAGACTATAGAGACTTTGTGACTGCCACCAACAATTAGATGCTTCAAAGTTCCTTCTTGAATCAAATGTCGCCCTCTGGTGATTAATGGAATGGACTGATTGGGAACAGAAAGAAATTAAAAATTAGAAAGAAATCAGAAAGATTAAAAATGGCAGAAAAATAGGAATTACATTAAGATCATTTATTATACCTTAACGTTTCCAAAGTCCACTAACTTGTCCAAACAAACAAGCAGCTCTGTCCTCTTCATTTGTTGGACACTCCTGTCACACTCTTCCACGATCTATACATTTAGATGCATTCATTTGTAAGGTAACATGATTTACATGTAATACGGATCAGCATGCAATAAATTAGTATACAATTCTGATCATTTTTTATTCAATTATTATATGGGGGGCATTTACTATTTTGAAAGCAAAAGCATGATAAAGCCTACCTTACGTACAACTTCAATGGCTTCCGTCAGATTATGGACATTAGAACAAACACCTTTAGATCGCTTGAGGATGTTCTAAATCAAATAGCATAAAATGTTCACTAAACAATGATAACAGGAAGTTCTCTGAGGAGTCTGCACATCTCTCTGGCCTGTATAAAGGAAAGCCAACCTCAAGTAAGAGTGTCATTCTTGTGATCCTCTGGAAGGGAAGAATCAGGAAAGACTTGAGCGTTTGTCTCTGGCATTGTGGATCTTTCTCTAGTTTCTTCAGGATCGGTGCAAATTTCTTATTTCCCTGCCTGGTGTAAAATGGTAATTAGAACGCAAACATGCCATAAAATTAAATTGATATGCTCAATATGGAAGATACATGAAAGCAGGACAAACAGCAGCTGAGTGACGAGAGCCTCCTGGTACATCATGTTGGTGATATATGGCACATAGACTTTTTGGAAGCCTTGCTGGTGATTCAAAACAATATCACCAACCTGTGACATCACCACATGCTGCCCAAGATGGGACTCCATGTCCTGCAGAAACCTAAATTAACCAAAATAAAGTAATTAGTTATTATATATAGCCATGAAGACTGCATTATTAAAAACAGTAACAGTATTGTTTCATATTATTAAATTTATAAATACCATTCCTGCTTAAATGTTTTTAATGCGTTTTAAATGTAATTTATTCTAGTAATGGCAAAGCTAAATGTTGAGCAGCCATTATTCCAGTCTTCTGTGTCACGTTCTAATATGCTGATTTCGTGCTCGAGAAACATTTATCATCAATGTTAATAGTTTTGTGAAAACCATGATACAATTTTTTTAATATATATATATTTTTTTGATGAATAAAGAGTTTACAAATGTAGCATTTATTTGAAATCGAAATCTTTTGTAACATTATAAAATGTCTTTACTGTAAATTCATCAATTTAATACATCCTTGCTGAATAAAAGTACTAATTTTAAATAAATTAACTACTGACTCCAAACCTTTGAATGGTAATGCATTTATATAATTATAGAAATTCATATATTTGAAATAAATACTGTTCATATAAATTTTAACAATAATTCCTAAACTTATATTAAGTGAAGGCAGCCCAATACATCTTTCACATTCAAAATTCTATTGTATAGTATTGTATATTCAAGTATTTTATCCATACCGTTCACTGATTCTGCAGACATCCTTTAGGTTGGAGAACAGAACATGATGCTGCACACGGGACAGGATCTGTTTGAGTTCTGCTGAGCACTGAAACACATTCAGTGCTACTATCAGACTCTTCTGATAAGAGGCCTCTGACACAATCAGCTCAAAGATGGCCTAGAGCACAAAAACAGAGGGATAAGTATTGTGGAATAACAGTAGACATCAGACCAAGGTCATGTTTTGCAAGCATGCACAGCAGACTTGTTAGTCTCCTGCAAGACACACCTCCTGAAGCTGGATCTCATGTGCACTGAGGGAGTTCAGCAGACTCTTTACTTGCGGTAGCTCCTGCCACAGAGCATATGGCTTAGTCTGTAGTCCTGGTGGGCTCAACACAGCGGTCGGGCTTAAAGCAGGGGGAGTTTTCAGACCAGGAAGACGCATAGATGTCACCAATTCTGAAAGTCCGTTGTGCTGTGCTCTGTGTAAATCCTTCTTCAGAGAGTTCATCCAATACTCCTGATACAAAGGGACCGCTAGGAAAACAATTTGAGTAGATAAAAGAAATAGGAAATATATAAGCAAAATATGCATGTGCTTTTTGTTGAGCATCATATGAGATACATCAGGCTTTTTTGGCTAATGGCAGATGAAATTTTGATAGTAATGCAAATCAATGAGATCTTTATAACAGTATAGCAGACTGCTTTCATTTATCTACTAATCATGTCTTAGTAAGATGATATTTTAATGCTTTTATGATCAAAGCACTGTAGTTTTAATTGTGGGGGGCAAAACAATCCAACGGAACACAATGATTTAGAGATAAATAAATGTTTCGTAAATGCCTGATGTATCATGTGATACATTTTAACATGATTTTTCTATAAAAAGTATTATGGATAATCAAGTATACATAAATTGCTTCAGTCCAGTAAGTCTTCATCTCGAAATATTACTAACAACATAAAAGTTACTCTTGTTTACTTTATCATTTTTTTTGTAGATTACACAGCAAAGGAAAAAAAAAAAAAAAGCATAAACTATCAATCAGACAACACAAGGCATGTAGTGAACTGTGTTCATCAGTTTTAGCAAAGTTTCAATCATGATAATTTAAAAGTCTAATTTAAAATTTGCGTATCAAATATTACACAGTGGCCTTAAGGTTAAGCAACTTATTTTTTTTCTGTCTTTCGATGGATAAAATGTGACCCGTGAGATACAGAATCTGGTCGACCGTTTTGGTGAAATTCTTCTGAAAATTTACAACTAGGGCTGTTCGATTCTGACATTTTTGGAATAGAGTCCAATTCCTGGTTCTGGAATCGATTCCTCACTGTTGTTTTCGATTCTTGTTTTTTTAGATTGAAGGAACCTATAATCTTACCATGACTGCAGGATAAAGGTCGTAGAAAGTATCCTTCTCATAATATGAAGCTTTATTTGTAAAAATAAAAAAATAGATACATAAATTGTAATTGTCTGCTTTGCCCGTGAAATTAGTCATAGCCCACAGCTCAACAGGTACATGCATGAATTGAACAAGACATGAAGTGTCTAATAAATGTGCACAGTTCAGCTGAATGATGAAGTTGACTTTGACTGTAGGCCTATACTTTGCACAAAATTAACAAGCTGTACACTGAAACAAAATAACCAGAACATTAACTGATAGAGCTCGTGGTATACATCTATCAATCACATGCGCTCTCGGCCACTGATCTATGCTCATGACGTTTTCTTTTATAATTATCATTGGCTGATAGAAATGTTCAAAAGAAAAAAAAAAGAAAAAAAGTATTTTAGATGGTAATAAGATCAAGACCCTCGATGGCCAGGCAAAGTTGTGGTTGTGACATAAATATATATTTGTGAATATGTTTTTTATTTGCAAATCTCATTTTATTTATTTGCGAATTTAATTCATGTTTGTGAAACTTTAAGATTTATTTGTGGATCTCATTCTATTTATTTGTGGATCATAATCTATTTATTTGGAATTAAGCAACAATTCTACCCCCATA